CTGGAGTACCCCGGTTTAACAGCAGACATTTGGTACTGACACCACCTTTTTGATACCTCACTTTACACAACTATGAGTAGAAACATGTAGGAATATTTGACCCACAAACACAAGCATCTCCTCTGATGGAAGACGAGCCTGGTCCAGTTGTTATTCCCCCCAGAACCACCTGGAGAGCCTGGCTCCTTCATAACACTATTACAGAGGGTTCGTTGGCATTCTGCAATACTTCCCGTCATTAACACATGAATTAACTCCTTTCCTTTTGTGGGTATGTGTCTATTTATTAGTTTCCTCAGTATTGTGACCCTCCTTTTAAATGTTACCTGCACTGCTGACAGGAGGAGCTGGGGGGTGACCGGAGAGTCCTGTGCTGCTCCCTTAAGCTGACCCTGTCATTTCTCACCTGTAGAGCTCACTCCCACTAGGTGTGGCTCGGACATTTAATGGTTTACTAATAATGGAATAACCTGTTTAAACGTGTCTGTTAGCTAGCATGCATGGCTACATGTGTCGTCAGAGGTTTCAAAGCATATTTTTGTAGGCTGATGGACAAAAGTCTCAGACTTCCGTTGGTGAATAGGTTTCTTGTCCACGAACAAAATGGCCTCAGTGGAATTTGTATTAAGAGGAAATTTTATGAAACTGATTAAACGAATTCTGAGATATGATGTTGGGTTTTGCTCTTTTATTATTGGTAGTTACTCAAACGGCTTTTAAATGAGCCGGGAACAAAGAAAAATATCAGAAAAGTCCCCACAAAATGGAAACCACCACCTGTCCCAGTGGGGGGGGGGGGGGGCAGAGGTAACCCTGCTCAGAGCTGGCACCCACAGGAGGGAAACCAGGAGAAGACCAGTCCCCCCAAACCCCAGCCCTGGTCCAGATCCGGTTCTGGGTCCGGTGGTCTCTGGTCCAGTTCTGGTCCCCTCAGAGCTCCACGGCTGGTGGGTTCCCCTCTCCTCCTGGAGCTCCTCCTTCATCTGTGTCCCCCCCCAGTCCCCCCCCCCCCCAGCGTTCTCCAGCCCGTCTCATGTGGTTGAGGGTTGGATCCGACCACCCGGACTCCAGAGCAGCCTCATAAAGACGCTGTCTGACTGAGGAAGAGGAGTCTGGATCAGGCTCCTCTTCCTCCTCCGGTTCTCTTTCATCCTCCCTTCATGTGTGCTCCTCTGCTTTTACAGGCCGAGGCTTCAGAAGATCAAACCTCCTCTTGCCTTGGAACTTCTCTTTTAAAGCAGAAGCTGCAAAACCACCAGAGCTTTCTGGAAGTTTGAGAAGCAGCTTTTAACCACATGAGCAAAAAGCTCTGCTAGTCAGCCTGGTGCCACCGTAAGAAAGGTCAAAGGTTAAAGGACTCTTGTCAGCAGACTGGGTCTAAGAAGGGATTTCCAAGTGCTTTTGCTAGTTTACTAACCACTAAACAGTTTAGGGCCAAAATAACAAACAAAAAAAAACAATTAATTAGTTCCTTTAAATCAAGGATGAAGACCTTTTTTCTTAATGTTGCCTTTCTGTTCATAACTTCATTTTTTAATGTGTAATTTCTTATGCTAAACTATAACTTTTTATCTTGTGTTTTATGTATCTTAATGTTTTTAGGGGGGCTTTTAAAGCAGTTTTTTTGGGTGTTTAAAGCTGTTTTGGGGGGCTTTTAAAACTTATCTTTTGTTTTATGTATCTTAATGCTTTTGTTTTAATCGTTTTTTATATTTTCTTCTTTTTTTTAATAGTTTTTTACCTGATTCTGTGTAAATCACTCTGAATAAAGCTGCCCTGCCTCGCTGGGCTCTGGACTCTCCTCGTTGGGTCAGTTTTTCAGTTCAGTTTCCATCATATTTTCTCGGTTGTGTTCCTAATAATTGGGACTTGTTCTGTTTGGGGGCTAGTCCTGGTTATTCATCCTTTCCCCCGTTAGGCCCCGTCCTGTTAGCGGCTGATTTCAGCTGCTCCCCCTCTCTCACCACTTCCCCTCCGGGTCTCAGCTCCCTGTTTTCCACTCTTTCTTTCCTTTTTGGCTTCGGTTGTTTGGTTCCACAGAGTCCAGCATCTCAGCTTCTCTCAGTCTTTTATCTTTATGCATTTAGACGCTTTCTCCTGCTTTAAAGCTGTTTTTTAGGCTTTAAAGCTGTTTTTTGGGGGGCTTTTAAAGCTGTTTTAGGGGGTTTGTACTCCATTTTTTAAACGATTCTCACAAAATACACCCCTCCTGTTAACCTCGGTGGGTATGTTGACAGCTAATTCCCAGCTCAGATCCCTCTTACTGAGGGGGGGGGGCTTTGCCCATAGGGGTGGGGGGGGGGGGACACCAGACTGGCTTGGATTTGGCAGAAACTCTGCTTTTGCTTTGTTCCAGAGGCTTCCTGAAGCGGGTTTCAGAAACATATCTGAGTCATTTCTGGGATTTTGTCTTCTGGGAGTGTCTGTTGTGTGTTTAGTTTCTTTGTTGTCGTGTTTTACACCCAGTGAGCTGTGCTGTAGAGGCCTGGTCCTCCTGACAGCATCTGGGAGGTTGTGGCCCTGTCCCTGATGAGTCTGTGAGGGTCCAGTGTCTCTGGCCTCTGGAGGTGTTTCATGATGGAGGCTGGAGCTAAAGGCGGCTTTCCTTTGTTGGTTCAGCAAAGAAACGTCTTCAGGGTCTCTGAGATTCCCCAAATTCGAACTAAAAACCTGAAAATTGTTACATCAAACCTTTAAATGCTTTGCTTTGGGACTCGTTGGTCATTTCCATCCCTATTTTCACAGGAGGGTTTTTTAGTTACTGTTCAAAATACTGAAAAACAATAGAAATGTCAGAATCATTTTGGAAGGTTGTTGTGAGATTCTGTGTGAATCTGTGTGTCCTGATATTTAGTTTAAAACCCGTCCTGTCATTTGGCTTTTATTTCAAATGGTTGAAGTAGATTTCATTGTTTATTCCTTACTCAAGAAAGGCTGATATAGGCCTATAATAATATTAAATATAATAATAAGTAGTATTGTTAGATAATAATAATAATAATAATAAGAATTATGATTATTATTATTATAACATAAAAACAATTAAAGGCTCGTAATGTAAATTAAAAGATGAGTTCTAATTGAGGAGCCGCTGAAACGTATTTATTCTATTTTTTAAATGAAAAAATCCGCCCGTAAAATTGTATGAAAATCAAATAAACCAATACAAAAAATAAAACATGTTCAAAATAATAAAGAATATATGAAAATAGACAGACAGAAGGAAACAACGACGCAGCACCAAATTCAGCCGCAACCCGGAATTATCCAAATTTATCCTGCCAGGAAAATACTCTGAAAAGACCAAAAAAAGAAAGAAGAATTAAATCAAATTATTTAAAATTTATACATCTTAAAAATAATGATAAAAGGGGAAAGAATCCGGACACGCCCGTCCCGGCGGCAGAAAAATCAGAAGCTTTGAGTCGAAGAGCAAAACGACGCAACAGAAACAGAAAAATAAATCCGGTGC